GCGCAGACCCTTTTAAAGGCATTATTACATCATTGAAGAAAATCAAGATAACAGCAAATAGACACTATTGATTGGTCCAGGTGTTAAGTGGTTAGTTAGGTACCCTCCTATCAAGAGGTGATGTCATCCTTGACACGGGAGTGGACACAAGATGTAGGCGCCATCTTGTTAGCACGAGGTGTTCACTCGATGGGAGGGGTGCTTTGGCAGCCATCCATTTGGAGCGTAGCTGGCACTTGTTAGTTTCTCAAGGTTAAGTTTCAAGGATTTTAGTAAATACACATTTTATCAAAGCTATTTCTTGCTGACATGCAAATTCTATGTTCTATAGACAAAGCTTCCTTGTAAAACTATGGGGGCCTCTTAGAGGTATAGCAAGAGGATTTAAAGGGGCCTTACAAATTTATAGAGGCCTAATAATTCTACAACAGTCCCCCCTAAAATGTTATTTGCTAAAAGACAAAACTTTGTTAGTATCAGAAGAAGTATTAGCCCAAAGACACAGAAACCCCATGACCGCTGACTTAGTGTTAATGCAAAGTGCAAGTCTATCCCTCTCTTGACCCTAACAGGCTGCAGCACATCCGTCAGTACGGTTCAGGAACACTCTTCACTCCGCTGGTAACCCATAGTGGCTTATCCACTACTTCTCCGTACGGCAGTCTACCCATAAAGACGGACGCTGTCCCTGTACTGTCCCATCCTAGACTTTCTGCACTTCATCAGTATAAGGGAGAGTTTGTAGCGGAATACAGGGTGAGATGAGGTCTTGATCATCGATTGTCAGATGAGTGAAGGTTGGTGTTGCTTGGTCTACAGTTTTCTGCAGGAATTTCCTTAGGCATGGGAGGACACAACAAATGAGAAGAGCGAGAATAAAAAGAAAAATTAGTAAGGCAATACCAATCTGGACTAAAGCTCTCTGCCAACCAGTCATCCAACCAAACCATTTTTCCCAGGGATCAGTAACTCCAGAGTTTCTCTTTAACTCCTCTGAGAGTCTATTTAATTTAGCTATGGCTAGAGTGACTTTACCATTAGGACCTGTGTTTTCTGGAATGTAAGTGCAACAAGTCATAGTGTCGGGAAGTATTTTACAGACCCCCCTTTTTCGGCTAAGATCATGTCTAAGGCCAGTCTGTTCTGGAAGGTCATTTGGGATGTGGCCTGTAATTGCTCGGCCAAGCCCTGGAGGGCATCCCTGGTGTAGTTCACGAAGCGCTGTTGGTTGTAATAGATATAATTAATCCAATTAAGGTTTTTGTTGGCAGTGACTATGGTAAAAAGTGATTCAAAACCTGCAGCTACTTCATCTCTAGCTTTAAATTCATTAGGTACCCCCCTAGGCACCCCAATGGCATCTATGTAAATGTGGGGGTCAAAACTGCCTTTTACTGGGGTTTCGCGCCTTACTCTGGCTGATGTATGTGGAGGGTCGTATGTGTCATGATGATTATCAGAAATAATATGAATGGGCATGATAACTTTGGCCAGGGTACACTCACCCCACCACTCAGTTTCCAGCCTAGATCTTAACTGTAGATCCCCACATAACCAGTAAATATCCCCCAATGACCTGGTATGGTGTTGCAACAGGCGTATAGGAACAGTTCTGTAAGTGGCGCAATAACCTTTAGAAAAGTTACCCATGAATTTACCAATCCCGTCATACACGGCATAACAAGTGTAATTACCTCTATAGATTGTGATTCCATCTGGTGGCTTAACATTTTCAACTAAGAGAGGGTATTCTGCCGTCCATGCCATGCAGAGGGACCTATTAAAGTCATATTGGTAGGCAAAAAGGCTTAAGAAGCAATCTTCTATCTCTAAAGGGAGAGTTAGGGGGACGGTGCCAAGGTGGGGTCGGGCACCGCCACATACATAACATGCTGTTTTATTATGTTTGTTAGCATTATACCTCATCCATTCTAACCACAGATTAATGTCATTGAATCCAGTTTCAGCGGCCATGGTATCTTCAAAAGTGGGGTTAGCGATGGCCATCATATCTTTAAATGACTGGATATGTGGTTTTAGCGGATTTGGGACCATATGATCAGCCCCTTGCCACTCTGGAGAGTGGGACATATCTCTGAGGTAGAAATGACCTAATTTGTTGTAGGAACCTTTCTTCCAATACATTCCCATTACATATCGGTCTGCATCCTCGGGGCCAGGATGTTCAATATTTAACATTAATTTCATAGGGGTACTTCCTCCAGGCTTTCTTAAAGTCATTCTTTGAAGGAGGGATCTACCCTGATTGTCTATCTTAGATAAAGAACTTTTGGGTTTATAACCCCAGGCAGGCCCAGTATTCCATCCCGCAGCCCCCCAGTAGTTACAGTCATAACCCCATTGTTCATCTACTACACAAACGTAAGGGTCTTTTGCTTGTGGTATATCTTTATAAATGGCTTGAATCTGTGACTTAGGGAATGGGCATTCTACAATATCACAGTAATCAAAAGTGAATGTAGCCACATGGGTACATGATGAATTATACCAGAAAGTGTACCCACTAGCATCTTTGGTGATGGCCACCTGCTGGGCTTTAAGGAGGCCAACTAAGGAGATAATGTACCAGAGGCACATGGTTGCATAGAGTTAGCTTCCTCTGGGGCAGGTGTCTTCTTGCAATGGGAAGCGTGGATCCAGTTAGGCCTTCCGGCCAATTTGACAGAGGTAGGGGAGATCAGGAGAACTTGGAACGGTCCGTCAAATCTTGGTTCCAGGGTGTGTTTTCGCACAAATTTCTTGACCAGAACCCAGTCACCGGGGAGCAGACTGTGGTTGCCTGTGTCAGAATCAGGATCTGGAATTTTAGAGAAAACTTGGGCATGGATTTTGTTCAAAGCATTTGCGAGTTCAGTTACATAATCTACTAAAACATCAGTTTGAAGTTTTAGTTGTTGGGGAAAATAGCAACCTAGCCTAGGTGCAGTCCCAAATAGAATCTCGTATGGGGACAGTGAGGTAGTATTTTTGTACAAGAGCATTCATTAGATCCTTTGATAAATGTGCAGGTCTGTGTGCCCATTGTACGACTGCTGGGTACAAATTCTTAGGGAGGCAGAAATTGAGGTTGTTGGAGTACACTCCATCCTTCAGAACTGCCCCTTTCTGTTTCCACTTCTGTATTTCTTCAGGGGCAACTGTAGCCTGTTGTTCCAGCAGGATTTTCAGGTCAGTTGGAAGAGTCTGCAGAGTAAATATGGGAGTTTCTTCATTTCCGGACACTCTTCTTTCCACTTCCTGTGGTTCTTTTGCAGCTTGTTTTGCAGCCTGATCAGCTAGATGGTTGCCCTTTGCTTCATCTGAGTCCAACTTCCCATGTGCTTTTATCTTCAAAATAGCCACTTCTTCTGGGAGTAGGAGGGCGTCCATCAGCTCCTTGATCGCGGAACCGTGCTTGATTGGTGTACCGGTGGTGGTAAGAAATCCTCTTGTTTTCCAAATTAATCCGAAGTCGTGAGCCACGCCCAGTGCATATCTTGAATCCGTGTAGATATTGGCGCGCTTTCCTTCAGAGATCTTGCATGCTGAAGTCAGGGCTTGCAATTCAGCTTCTTGTGCAGACATAGTTGATGGTAAAGATGATGATTTGACAATTTCATCTGTTGTGGTTACGGCATATCCTGTATGGTATCTTCCTTCTTCATCAGCATATCTTGAGCCGTCCACAAACAGGGTGAGATCGGGATCTACCAATGGGTCTTCATGTACAGTTGGTAGATGTGTTGTTTCCATTTTCATCTGTTCAAAACAGTCATGAGGTGTATCTGGGTCGTATTCATTCACTATGGTTAAATCTTGGAACTTATTTTCCAGGAAATGACGTGGCCATGCTTTTAGGGTCAGTTGTTGGATATTTGACAACACCATTTTCCTGTAGCTGTGATTCGTCCATAGTGGCCCATGCTTTTGCCATAGGCCCAAGATCATTCCATGATATTGTTTTCAACTTGGTCACAGGGACATGTGGAATGGCAGTGTCCCAATGACGGTACAAATGCTTGAGTTCCGGAGGTAGATGAATCAAGACCATACTGTTGCCTTCAGAATCACAGTAGAAGTCTTGTGCAGTGAGTTTTACTTCGACCAGATGATAGAGTTCATCTTCATAGCAGGTTCAGGAGTGATGTTTGATTTGTACCACATGGTACAGAAGGCATATCCTGCTCCGTCATGAAGGAGTGCTTGTCCATCATGAAAGGATAGGTTGGGATGCATTTCCTTCTTGATGGTGCCAGTGAGAAGAAAAACATAAGTTTCGTCCATGATGAATCCGTAGTATACAGTTTCGTCCATGATGAATCCGTAGTATACACCCCCCTCAGGGAGTGGCAGAAGAGTGGACGGATTGAGAACTTGACATCTTTGGAGGGTAATGTTGTCAAGCAACAAAAGGTGACATTGAAGGCAAAGATGCCTAGCAGGAGTAACATGCTTAAGTTGGACCTGGTTGACTATGGCAGAAATATCATGAGGGGCCAAGACAACCAGGGGGTGGCCAAGGACAAGATCTCCAGTTCTTTCAATGAGCTCTCTGGCAGCAAAGACGGCCCGAAGGCAAGAGGGACGTCCTCTGGCCACAATATCCAGTTGGCAGGAGAAAAATCCAATAGGCCTTTGGCGGCCTCCAGGACCATGGGCCTGAGTGAGTACTCCTGTTGCATGGCCTTGTCTTTCAGAAACAAACAATTTGAAGGGTTTGGTATAGTCTGGTAGGCCAAGAGCAGGAGCAGAAGCAATAGCACGTTTGAGAGAACAGAAGTTGTCAAGGGCTTCTGTGGACAAGCAAAATGGGTCTGACTTGAGAGCATCATAAAGAGGTTGCATAAGGAGCGAGGCTTCTGGGATCCATGCTCGGCAATAGGAAATGAGGCCTAGGAAGGCGTGTAGTGACTTCGAGGTCCTTGGAGGTGGAATGTCCAGTACTGCTCTAACTCGGTCACGGGTAAGATGTCTGGTTCCCTGAGACAGACAATGGCCAAGGAAGATAACAGTAGGTTGGCAGAATTGCAGCTTGAGACGTGAAGCTTTACATCCTTGTTCTGCTAGGTAGCAAAGAAGATTAAGTGAGCATTGTTCTGTTGTGGGTATATCATCTCCACAAAGCAGCAAATCATCCACATATTGAAGCAGGACGACCTCATGGTGGTCAAATTGCCATGGATCAAGGATAGAGCACATGGCCTTCGCAAATTGACTTGGTGAATTTTGTGCCCCTTGGGGCATGACAGTCCATGTGTACTGTTGTTTTTCATGTGTGAAAGCAAACAGATATTGGCAAGTTGGATCCAGGGGAACACTGAAGAAGGCATTGGCCAGATCAATGACAGTGAAGTACTTGGCAGAGGGTGGAACGCCGGAAAGGAGAGTGTGTGGGTTGGGCACTATTGGAGTGTCCAAAACTGTGGCTTCATTTACCGCTCTGAGGTCTTGGACCAATCTGTACTTTTCTGGTTCGCCTTTTGGAGTCTTTTTCTTTACTGGAAATAATGGAGTATTGCATGGTGATTCACATTTGACAAGAGCACCCTTCTCCAGGAGTGCTTGAATTTGAATTGTAATGGCTGCAGCTTGAGCTGGTTTCAAAGGATACTGTGATTTTCGTGGCAATTTTACGCCTGGGATGAGCTTTACCACCACAGGCGGGACCTTTAGATGGCCTATGTCCTCTGGGCCTGTGGACCACAGCTTCTTAGGAACATCAGTCTTTAGTGAATCAGGGAAATTAGTCCTTAGGTCTTTTGCATCCCCATGAGGCTCTTCTAGATGTAGCATCAGGGGTAAGGAGCACAAAGCTGAGGTGTCTGAGACAGATAGAGGGGTGGATAGTTCCACTTGTCCATCTGGAGTAAAGGTGATGAATGCCTGCAGGCGTGAAAGAACATCAGCTCCTAACAGGTTAATGGGGCATGTGGAAGATACCACAAAGCGAGCAAGCAAGTTGTGGCAGTTACCAACCCGCAGTGGGGTGGACAGGGGACTTTGCCTTGGAAGGCCGTCCACCCCAACACAGGAGACATCAATATTGGAAAGAAATTAGGTATCGGGCAGGTCTTGTTCTCTCAGAACACTTCGGGCTGCACCTGTGTCAACTAGGAAAGTGGTGGGCTGGCTCTCAATGGGTAAAATTACAGTAGCTAGAGGCCCCCCTTGTTCCCCTGAAGACACTGCCATGGCAGGGGCATTAAGCATCAGCGGGTTTGCTCTCCTCAGTATGGGCTGTGTTACTGACTCAAACCCCTTTCTATGTCATTAGCCATAGCTTTTTTGCAGTCTGAACATGTCTATCATTATAAATAATGGTTAATAGTAAGTTAAGTAAAGTTCCTAAATGTCTTTGGATAAAACATTAACTATTGCGGTACTATCATTTATATTAATTAGACTATAACAATTATACCACCCTGTAACTAAAATAAACAACCAGTAGTGGCTGGGTTAATAAAACATGTCACTAATCCTTCTAATGCTAAACCATCATTTAAAGTAAAGGATGTTACTGTAAACATAAGATCTGTAACTAGCAAGATTCGATTAAGTAAAGATACAATGTTTAAAATAACTTGCATTATTTGGCTATTTCCCTTATTGCAAGATGAAGCTGGATAATCAGCTGTTATGCTCTTATATTCGTGTCCAACAGATTTCATATGTAGGTCACACCACAGCTGCAAATTACATTTTAGCAACCTTCTTTTTTTTTTATATCACGGACAAATTGCTGATACAGGGAAACAAATGGCATGATTGTTTTAGTAATTATAATGTTTCTGTTCATAATATGTAGAGTGTAAGGAAAACAACATAATAGGGTAGGCCTCATGATGGAGGCAGCCATGACAGGGGCGGGGAAGGAAATGACAGCAAGGGAGGAAGTGAGAGGGGTGACGTCCATGATATGTGTGGGAAAGGAAGACAGGAGGTGTGGGCATGGTAAGGGCGGAAGTGACGTCACTTTAGAAGCAACCGTGACTGTAGATAGGTCTGTACTAGGCGCCATCTTTAGGGTGGTGGCTGACGCACTTTCAACAATACACTATATTATAACTATTAAAATAAGTCAGAGAAGCAACATTCCGTTCTGCAAAATGAAATACTAAACTATGAACAGACCTGGCAGGTTAAATAAGACAGTTGAGAACATTATGCATTTAACAGCCCATACAGCTGTTTCTAGAAACATGTACTTTAAAATAACTTTAAAATAATAAAATGATGCAAAATAAACTCGCGGAATTCAACCAAATTCCCTTATCTTCCTCAAACCATTAATCACTTTCCTCCTCTTATACTGACTTAACAACATCGCATATTCCCTCTACACCTTCCTAAATCCCGTATTCAACACTGAATGCAATCTTGTGAGCTCGTCACTCCCACAATCCTCAGTACCTTATACTCTTATCAGTAGCTTCTGAATAACTCTACAGAACACCGAAGAGACAGACCTAAATCGCAAGCATGTCACCACCCCCCTCCGCCCCCTCCCCCCCCGCGTCTCACAGAAGCGAGGGGAGGGGGGGGGTGTTTTAGCAGAGGGGGATTTGAGTGGAACAAGAGAGAGACTGCCTGCCAGCACGAATTTAACCATGTCAACGCTGTACAGTAACAAGACAGAAGGACAATTACATTACAAAGCAAAGAGACACAAAAACACAACATTTCATTTATACCCCCACCCTCTACCAGGGTAATGGCTAACACAAAATACAAAAACCCCACAGCGTTTTAAGATTGGGGTGGGATGGTGACCATGGTCAGCTACATTTCGGTCATTACTGACAGGATGATGGAAGTGGTCACCTCCTGGACAGGGCACTGCTGGGATAACTTCCCAGTAACACAATTATTATGATATACATACAATCTTAAACCTTTGTGATCAATATCTTCCTCAACCTATCCCTTTTGCTGAATAGCTCTTGCTACTCGGTATCAGGCTTCTGCTGTACAAACCAAATCTTGGTCCGACAGCTTCTCTTTCTTCTCTGTCAGTAACTTACGCCAGCTCTCTGGCTACAATCTGCCGCACAGAGGTACGGTAATTCCACATACTTTAGCAATCTTCCTCACTTTCTTAACCATCTCTTCTCCTTCTCTTTCTTCCACTAGATCACATGCTAACCAACCCTTACTGGGTTTATCTAACTTCTGTCCCATCCTCCCTATACAAGGCGTCCCAGATATAGAGAGAGAAAGGAACAGAACGTCTACCGTGCTCGACTGCTACTTTAAGAGCAAGCTCTTTAAGTACGTCTTCCCAAAACGTAGACTAGTCACTGATTCCGCCTACCCGTGGTAGCCGCGGATTGGAGCGTGGCGAGAAGTGTGTGACCAATCACTTCTCTCAACAAAGAGAAAGAGAAATAGGAGGGGAAAGTGTAAATAGTACAGTGAGTAAGATAGAAGTAAACACAGGAATCTGTGTGACAGACAATTAAGACAATAACATTTCAGTGTAAATACAGTGCATGCATCACAGTTCAAATAAGTTCAACAGTTTTATCCCTTGCCTTTACTCGTGTGGCCAAAAGCCACCTCCCTCAACCTCGTAGTGTCCCTGTTGCGGACCCACCCGCAAGTCTCACTACCAGCAGCCACAGGAAACAGCAACAGCTTCCAACCCGAATCCTGTATAGCCTAAAGAATTGGAATCTTACCTGCCTCAGCGCTCGAGGCTGGAATTTTACCAAGAAGAAGTGTCCGATGAGGCTAGCTAAGCGGTCAAAATGACACTCTGGGGAACCCCCAGGAAGCAATGAGTCTACATCATCCTCCACAGATTCCCCCTACTCTTTTTCCTTACAGCCACAGCCACGTGGCTCCTAAAAGAGTTAAACAGGCAATAGAGGACCCCCAGGAAAACTTCCACAGGTCCACCCCCCTTTTTCCTTACTACCACAGGCATGTGGTACCTAAAAGGGGTTAAACAGGCACTTACACTCCCCGGGTACTAAGTTAAACACATACCAATACAAACACACCCAGGCAACAGATAGTCAACATGCAGGTAAACTAGGTATCATTAACAATACAAAGACTCTGGGCAAGTTATTACCTGACTTTGATGTCCTCTCGGCAGCAGTCACAGACACTGGGGCAGGTCAATCACAGGGGTAGGAACATACCGGCTAGGTGCTGCAGCAATCTCTACCGTGTATTCAGAGGTGATCAGGCTCTTTTCCTTCCCCCAGGATTCAGCCCCCCCAGCGTCTTCTTGGACAGCTGCCCAGACTGGACATAGCCCAGAGCCCCACGTTGAGAGCGCCAATTGTTCTAGATAATTTACTGCAAACCAATTAGTTTGAATGACTATCTGTTCCTGTCCAAATTAAAGATAATAAAGTTGCGTGCACGCAGAAGTAAATTCACACTGAGACACAAGGTTCAGGGTAATGAAAGAACTTCAGAGAAGTTTAATGGCTTCTGCCAGAAAATGGGTGCGCAGACCCTTTTAAAGGCATTATTACATCATTGAAGAAAATCAAGATAACAGCAAATAGACACTATTGATTGGTCCAGGTGTTAAGTGGTTAGTTAGGTACCCTCCTATCAAGAGGTGATGTCATCCTTGACACGGGAGTGGACACAAGATGTAGGCGCCATCTTGTTAGCACGAGGTGTTCACTCGATGGGAGGGGTGCTTTGGCAGCCATCCATTTGGAGCGTAGCTGGCACTTGTTAGTTTCTCAAGGTTAAGTTTCAAGGATTTTAGTAAATACACATTTTATCAAAGCTATTTCTTGCTGACATGCAAATTCTATGTTCTATAGACAAAGCTTCCTTGTAAAACTATGGGGGCCTCTTAGAGGTATAGCAAGAGGATTTAAAGGGGCCTTACAAATTTATAGAGGCCTAATAATTCTACAACATAACAGCACACCTACTCCCGGCAATCTGTTAGTGAACCCATGGTTACTTTTGACAATCGGGGAGGGAGGTAAACCCACAGGATTATAGTGTAACTTGTTGTCCAACATCTCCTCTGGTGACACTCGCATACCCTTAGGGGAATATTTCACTCTAGTATATGTTCTCCAATTTTGTTAAGTTTCACTTTTGTTCTACATATATTTAAAAAAAACAAAAAAAAATCCTTTTTTTTCTCATATTGCTAGACGAATTGTTCTGTTGCAATGGTCTGTGTACTTAATGCAAACTCTGATGTGCTTTACTTGCAAGTGGAATGATCAAAATAAAGAATACAAAAAAAAAAAAAAGCTAACACTAC